TCCGACGTGCACACGTTGGCCGTATCAGGGGAACCTTGATGGAGTCTCCCTCCGAGACCCGCCCCGCAGCCTATAGCCGTACCGACCGAGCCGAGAACAGCCATCGCTCACTTACTGCACAACATGCACCCTAACAACGGAGGGATACAGTCTCAACGCAACCGGACAACAATGCCCGAACACCACGAATCACCAGCCCTCTGTTGCAACGCGCCTCGGAGTGTCTCGATCTCCGGGCTGGCAGAGCGAGCCTACAGCTCCAGACGCACCACGGAGGGTTTCAACCTCCGGGCCGCCAGGTCAAGCCGTCAGCCGTAGCATGACAGGACCACAACTGACATGTTAGGCACGCAACACCCACTGGACCATCCTGATCGGGATCTGCGCCCCAATGATATTTGACAGCCAGCACCACAATTCCAAATACTTGCAGCATGTCAGCTTCCCAATTTAATTGCTCCGTACCAATGACGGCAGAGCCACAAACCAAGGCAATCATCCCCCCACAATCGCAATTTCACACCCTCACAACACATACAATTTCAACCTTGCATTTCAAAATCCCCCTCAACATTTACCATGGGACTCAGGCATTCGAATTTGAAGAGCAAAAAAAATTAATACACAAAACGCCCAATAATCGCCGAATGGAGTAATACAGTATATGCAGTCTATGCAGTCTGCATACAACCAACAATCTCGAGCAATGCTCCATACAGCCTATACCAGGGGTCCTCAAACTTTTTAAACAGGGGGCCAGTTCACTGTCCCTCAGACCGTTGGAGGGCCGGACTATAGTTAACAAAACTATGAACAAATTCCTATGCACACTGCATATATCTTATTTTGAAGTGAAGAAACAAAACGGGAACAAATACAATATTTAAAATGAAGAACAAGTAAAGTTAAATCAACAAACTTTCCAGTATTTCAATGGGAACTATGGGCCTGCTTTTGGCTAATGAAATGGTCAATGTCCGGTTCCATATTTGTCACTGCTAGTCGTAACAAGTGATGCAAGTGTGTATCCGTTAGTCTAGATCTGGTTGGAGATTTCAAATGTTTCATTCTGGTACAAGTCTGTTCACAGACATAAGTGCTGCCAAAGATGGTTGCCATTTTGAGTGCATGGTTCCTGAGATGAGGATATGTCTCAGAGGGGAGAGATGCATAGAAATTATGAAGGCTGCTTGACTTGAATGCGTCTTTCAGAGAGTCACAATTCTGCAGTTCAGCCAGTTCCATTTGGTAAATTGTATCCACATTTTCAATGTCAATAGAAAATGGGTTACGGAAAAGCTGTATGTCCTGTTCATGGAGATGAAGCTCTTTAAATCTAAATTGGAACTCCTTTTGCAATTTTTCCAATGAATCCACACATGTTTTGTTTGGGAATGCAACCAATGGTTTTTCTGCTAACAGATTTTGAGTTGTGGGGAGATGGCAGAAGTTTTCCTCCTTCACTTGTTTGATGAGGAGGCCCTAATTTTACTTCAAATGCTTTGACATGTGATTGCATATCACAGATGAGCTTCCCCTTTTCTTGAAGTTGCACATTGAAACTGTTGAGTAGCTCTGTTACATCTGTCATAAAGGCAAGGTGCCATTTCCATTCTGCATCATTGAGCTCTGGTACTTCTTTGTTTTTTGAAAGCAGAAAAGCTGTAATCTGTGGAAGTAAGTCATAGAAAGGTTTCAAAACTCTCCCTCGACTCAGCCAACGGACTTCTGTGTGGTACAGAACATCTTCATAGTCAACATTTAGCTCAGACAGAAATTCCTGAAATTGTCTGTGGTTTAGTGCATGAGCTCTAATGAAGTTAACACAAGATACCACAATTTTCATAACAGAGTCCCACTTCAGTGATTTACTACACAGCGCCTGTTGGTGGATGAGGCAGTGTATGGCTATTGGATGAGAATGGTTATGTTTGTCCATCTCTTGGTTAATGCGAGCAATTACTCCTTTCTTAGACCCCACCATGCTAGGAGCACCATCAGTTGTCACACTGGCTAGTTTAGCCCAGTTCAGCTCCAAACCATTCACAGTTTGGCAAACCTTTTCATAGATATCCTCTCCTGTAGTTGTTCCTTTGATGCTTTGCAGTGCAGCAAGCTCTTCTGTGACTTCGAAATAGTCATTCGTCCCACGAATAAAAATTAAAAGTTGTGCAGAATCACGAACATCATTGCTTTCGTCGAGTGCCAACGAAAAATAGGAAAGTTTTTTTGTGGAGTTTTGCAAATGCTGATGCAAATTGTCTCCCATTTCTTCAATCCTCCGTGTAATTGTAGGTCCTGAAAGACTCACTGTACTAAATAAATCGGCCTTCTCTGGACACATCTCTTTGGCAACAGAAAGAAGGCATTCTTTAACAAATTCTCCCTCCACGAATGGTCTGCCAGTGCACGCTATTAGCTTGGCAACTTGAAAACTTGCTCGCAGTGATGAAATATTTAGCTGCTTCTGCTTCACAAAAGTATTTTGCTGAGTTGTTAATGTATTTTATCTTTTCTCACTTCTCCGACCAAACAATCATATTTATCTTTATGTTGAGTTTCATAGTGTCGACGTAAATTGTATTCTTTGAACACAGACACGATATTCTGGCATATCAGACACACAGCTCTTTCCTTGTACTGCATGAAAAAGTAATCATAAGTCCACTGTTCTTTGAATATCCTACACTCCGAGTGCATTTTTCTCTTTCTTGACATCATTGTTTCCTAGGGAGTCAAAATTGATATTAGTAAAATACCAATATATATACAGCGCTACAAAAACAATATACCAGCAATAACTTTGCCCGCACAGAGACATACTGTACAGACTGTACTGCCCATCAATGCAGTCTGATTGGGGGGAACTCCGCCCCCTCTCACTCTTCCACCAATGACCGTCCTTCTCATGCAGAAAAAAAGTAACAGACAGGCAGCGGCGGCAAAAACACCCGGCGGGCCGGATAAATGTCCTCGGCGGGCCGCATGTGGCCCGCGGGCCGTAGTTTGAGGACCCCTGGCCTATACACTGTTAACAACCACAGCACAGCTATACATTAACAATAACGAACACAGTTTTCCACAGTCACACGTTGACAACACTCACAAGCGAAGCTCCATACTGTATACCCAAAAACAATCGCGACTCCTCAACTGCAACCAAACAAAGTGTCAACAAATCATTAACCCGGCAATCCACTGGATCTTAACGGAGCCCAAGACCCCAACCTAGCCGAATTAATCATTAACTGGCTACTTAAGATAACAATCCCGACGCCGTAATCTCCATATATATAAAAGGCAAAGTTGTGAATGTGTGTCTGTTCAAAATGTTTAGCGTACTTCCCGACATGCAACAAACTGCAAATTTGCCATGTCGGTACTTTCCAGACTGTACACCATGCAAAAATGAAAAATACACTTTTTGGGGGGGGAGCTCAATAATGCATTTTTTTTTGCACGGCAAGTAATCTGTGACGTCAAATCTGTCACGTGACCCGCGCACGTGGAAGCAGTGACGCGTTGTAGTGTAGTGAATAGCGCCCTGCAATACGAACCCGGCGACCCGAGTTCGATTCCCGCTCACGGCCACCACCAGTGACGATTATTTGAACCGGTCCTGGGCCTCCCCTAGGTCGACTCAGCCTCAAACGAGTAACTGTTGTAGTGTGTGAACATCGCCACTGGGGAGACGAAGGCGGCCGGGTGTGGTGAGTCCCGGGCGAAGCCGGGTAGTACAGACGCTGTCGCCTCGATAGACCTGGTTTTCACCTGAGGACGGCTGCTTGCATTGTGGCCGAAACGTCGTGAGAATTATTTTATGTTTTATTTTTATTATTTCATTACTTCCCTTCTACGTGACTTTACCGAAAGAACCAAAGATGAATCCCTGCAGTCCAGAAAGCTTTAAATCGAAATTCAGGACAGCTAGTTAAACCAATAATGTAACACGCGGACACGTGACACGAACGCCACGGACAGACGCAAGTTATTAAAAAGGAAATTTGACGTGTATCGGGTTTAGAGGAAGACAGTCTCTCAGTGACTGCATGAAACATATTTAAAGGTACAATACTCATAATTAAGTTATCATGCAGCTTGCTTTCATGCCGGCCCATCGGTTTAGGATTTCCTCAAAGTGGGTGGATCGCGAAACGTCATGCTGCTATATTGATATGATAGCCAGATGCGTTAATCGGGCTTGGTCTATGGTAGATCGCAGGTAAAATATTTTTATGAATACATTTAATTTTATCAATTTTCTTAAATGTTTTTAAAACGTTGATTCAAGGCCCCCTTGTGACCGACTGGGCCCTAATGCATCGCATAACGCCGTCTCATATCCCAAACGGCCCTCCTTCCAGAAGGGGGTGCAGGCTGCGGGGTGGATACCGTGCAGGAATAATTTATCATATGCGCCGTAAACGTGATCGCCACCTTGTGGTGACGAACGCAGGAACACGCGCACAACGTGAAATGAATATACGATGGCGTGAGAAATATATATATAAATATCATAAGAATAAAGGTACAATATGCAAACGTTTCGGGAATAGGCCCTTCTTCATAGCACGCAAGTTACACATCAGAATCCCCACGTAAACAACACAGATGATGACGAAGAACTCCGGGGTACTCCTCGCCACTGATTGGCTCGTGTGTTATAACGCCGGCAAATGATTGGTCCAGACAAGCCATTAACGTAACTTTCATTAATCTTCGCTCGTTGATTGGTCCACTGCGGCTATTGCTGCTCACGCTCCTCTGATTGGTAGCCGGCCAGACAGCGCGTCATCCGTTTCCCGTCGTGATTGGTCGCCGGCACCGGCAGACCGGAATCGGAAGCGAGCAGGCTTGCTGTTGACCTCGGCTCACGATTGGCTGACGGCGCCTCGGGAAGGCGTGGTTTGTACCGCATAACCTGCGACTCTCGCTTATGATTGGTCCGCACCGTGTTGTGGGGGCGGGGCTCGCCGAGGAGGGGGGGAGGGCGGGGCGTTAAGGGGCGCACGGGACCCGGATGTGGAGGCTGTGAGCGCTGGGCTGAGCGGCCGCAATGATGGTGAGAGACGCGGGGCCCTTCATTCACCAAGCCGCTCACCCTGCCACTCGTCCTGCTTCTCAGCCGTCCATCTGACACCCAATCCTCACTCGTTCTGCCACTCACCTACCCCTCACTCGTTAACCCACTCATCCACCACTCACCCTGCCACTCACCCCTTGGTCTGACACCCATTCCTCATTCTGCCGCTCACCCACCGATCTTCACTCGTTCTGCCACTCACCCCTCGTCATTCACCTGCCACTCACTCATTCTGATACTCATTCCTCGCTCATTCACACACTGATTCATCTGCTCATTCAACTCACTCCTCACTCTGTCACTCATTTATCCACTCACATCTCGCCCATTCATACAATTATTCATTCATCTAGTCATTCCTCACACGTTCCTCACTGCTTCGTCACTCATTCCTCACCCATCTACTCCTTCCTCACTCAATCTTTACTCATTCCGCACTCAGTCACGTATTCCTCCATCTCATCACTTAATCGACTAATTCATAGAATTTCACTCATTCACGTCGTTGTACAAATCTTTTTAACTCACCTCATTTCTCATGAACACCATTCACTATTCGCTCATCTGATTGATTCGCTCGTTCAATTTATTAACTCATTCAGTCACTCATGTACTCCAGTTACCTCACTCATTCACTCATTTATTCCTTTGTCCTGTCATTCCTTAATCCATTCATGAATTTAAATTACTCAAGTTATTCACTCATTCACCCACTCATCCACCCACTCATTCACCCACTCATTCACCCACTCATTCTATCACTCATCCACCCACTCATTCACCCACTCATTCACCCACCCATTCTAGATCTCATTCCTTCATCCACGTATTCACTGAGAAATTAATTCGCTCAATTACAAATTTTAATTCATCTGGTTATGTCATCCACACTCTTAATTCACTTAATTACTCTCGTTAATCCCCTCGCCATGCATTCACTGATTCATCTCATTCATTCGCTAATACATCTCATGCAACAATGCATCTCATTTTTTGTTCTTTGACTCATTCACGCACTGGGTTTACGATCGTTGATCTCAACCATCACTGTTGATCAACCATGGATTTATCGCCCTGGGTGTCACAAATCACGCACCTCAAAACAGGTTCATGAAACGAATCATGAATTTCACATTAGTACACAAACAGTGAGAGCACCTCCGTTGAGTCGGGTTATTATGACTTGCAGCATTCTGAGCAAGAATAGATCATTTGTCTGATCCAAGTGGATATTATTGTCTTGATTTTCACTTTTTTCCTCGCTAGTTTGGTATATTGCAGTCGGCACGGTTTAGAAGTTTATTCGCATTACATGGATAACGATGTAACTCCTTTTAGAATATGGGCCACTTAAGACCTGGTGAGATATATTTAGATGCATTTTTAAAACACTCTTTCGATATTGGAAGCCACTCGAGTTATGCACTTTTACATCATCTAGATTGAAAACTAATTTCTTTAGAACTGCTTTTTGTGTTTAGTTTGGTGTCCCCCCTCCGCACCTCCGATTAGCACGCTTGGCTGCGTACAGTGCGAAAGAAGTTCAACATACATACAACTTAAAGCGCTTTGTCAAATTGCTTGGCCAGGGGCTCCATTCGCCGCTTTGGTCGTGGGGGGAAGTAGTTTGAACATACTTCACCACTCTGGTCAGTGCTGGTTTCTGCTACAAGGGGTGGGTGGCAGGCTTTGTTAAGTGGTGGCCGGGAATGGGAGGCCCTGGGTTCATAGGCCCAGTGTGCTAACCGCTGCACCGCCGCTCCCATCACTGTTTGCTCTACAGTAGTATCCAAATATGTTGGTGATGTTGCTGCGTTGGCAGTGAAACATGAGCACAATAACAAATAAAACGCAACGTATAAAATGAAAAGAAATAGGCAACAGTATGGGCTATGTACATTTATAGCAAATGCAGTCAAAGTTATCCTGTACTGTTTCTGATTAATGCAATTAGGGTGCAGTAAATGAGTTGAGCCTATGACCAAATCACCTGAAATGTGCCAGATCTCGTCACAAGGCAAAGATAAGCAGGCGTTTTAAGCCTGCATAGTGCTTTCATGGGTGACCACCACCAGGGCCGGATTAAGTTTCTTGTGGGCCCAAGGCACTTGTGTTTCTCAGCCTTCAGTGATAACTTTCTAAAGTTGGTGCTGCTGGCCCATGTCACTGCCGCCGCTGTCACTCGCTTGTTTCACGCGTTTGGCAACAACGCCCGCCTTGTCTTCCCTTGCACTATTCTCTATTGAGAATGAGATGGTTAGACAAACACCATTTGAAGATGTTATTGCTAATTTTGCAATGAAAAAAAATCTTCATAAGTTCATCTCCGGTGTTAATTTATCTCATTATGGGAAACAACGCTTGACTTGACTCTGCCTTTGTGTATTACTGTGCTTATCCTTGCTATGTAAACATTTATTCAAGAAGATATCTTGGGTAAATGTTTTATCATACAAACAAAAATGCACAGTCACATTTCTTTCGTAGGCCCTTTAGTATTTGTTGGCCCTAGGCACGATGCATACTGTGGCCTATTGGATGATGCGGCCCTGACCACCACCGTCCAAATGCCGATTTACCACAGGCGGCTGTGGAGGAGGCTGCGCTACATTGATGACAGTAGAAGGCTGGTAGAGCGAAATAAATTGGTACAAAACTGACACCTTTATACAAGGCATCATGTTTGCAATAACCGCAACACGAGCAGTCAAAATGCAAAAAAACAACTCTGATAATGGTAATGATATGCACTGTCCTTGAAGTTGATTGGTCCACACCCGAGACAGCTTTCCTTAGAGCCTAGTCTCCATTGGTGTTGGACCAGATGACGCCAAAAGGCGTACAACTCAAAAACAGTGCACTATCAGAGTATTTAGAGCTCGGGGTATGCACTATCAGAGTATTTAGAGCTCGGGGTATGCTTACCCCGAGCTCTCAATACTCTGATAGTGCACTGTTTTTGAGTTGTACGCCTTTTGGCGTCACCTGGTCCAACACCAATGGAGACTAGGCTCTAGGGAAAGCTGTCTCGGGTGTGGACCAATCAACTTCAAGGACAGTGCATATCATTATCAGAGTTGTTTCTTTTTGTTTGCATTTTGACTGCTTGTGTTGCGGTTATTGCAAACATGATGCCTTGTATAAAGGTGTCAGTTTTGTACCAGTTTAAAGGGTTAAAAAGATACTACTATATTTTTCCACTGGTAAATGAGGTCTCATAGCGAAATAAATTGTTGCACTACACAATGCTTCTTCCCATGTCTTATGCTGTCCACCTTCGCCAGGCCAAGCTGCACTAACCCACCGCGAAAGTGTGGTTAAATAAGCACCGTGACCCACTTGGGGGTGGAGAGACCCTCATCCAGCAGTGGATCAGGCAAAAGGGATGAACGTGTATAACGTGAAATGATATACTGGACACATGTATTGTACATAGTTATTACTGTATTTAAAAAGAGTGGATTGCTTTGTTCCGCTGGTAATGATTGTAAACTGAGTGTTGAGCCCTGTGGGGCCATGTCCGCATGCAGGGGTGAATCTTCACGCCAGGGAGTGATCGTTGGCGCCTGCTGGTCCCTGGGCTGTGTGCTGTCGCTCTGGGTGGTGCTGTGGCTCTGATGAATCATCAGATTGAACTGTGCTGTGCTCTGCTGTGTGTTTTTAGTACACGTGTCGTTCTCTGCCGTAGGATGCTCTTTGGTTCTTTCGGTAAAGTCACGTAGGTAGAAATACAATAAAATAAATCACGACGTTTCGATCGCAACACAAGCAATCTTCATCAGGTGGAACAACCACAGCAAGAAAATGCTGAAGTAGGCCTACTTATGTACAATATGTGTCCAGTATATTCATTCCACATTATACACATTTATCCCTTTTGCCTGATCCACTGCTGGTGCTGATTTAACCACTCTCGCGGTGGTTTAGTGCAGTTTGGCCTGGCGAAGGCGAACAGCATAAGACATGGGAAGAAGCATTGTGTAGTGCAACAATTGATTTCGCTCGACCAGCCTTCCACTGCCATCAATGTAGCGCAGCCTTCTACTGCCATCAATGTAGCGCAGCATTTTCTTTTCTGTGGTTGTTCCACCTGATGAAGATTGCTTGTGTTGCGATCGAAACGTCGTGATTTGTTATATTTTATTTTTTATCTACCTACGTAACTTTACCGAAAGAACCAAAGAGTATGGATTCCTGCATTCACGAAAGCTTCAAATCAAGATTCTGCCGTAGGATGTTATATGTTCTGTGTTCCCGTGATGTTGCACGGTTTTTAATACGTGCTCTTGTGATGTGTGTGTTGATGTCTTTGTTTGCCTTGTTAGTGGGGAGCGATAGTGCAGCGGTTAGCGCACTGCGCTATGAACCTAATGACCCGGGTTTGGTTCCCGCTCACGGCCAACACCAGTGACGATTATCTGAACCGGTCCTGGGCCTCCCCTAGGTCGACTCAGCCTCAAATGAATACCTGGTGCGGTGTGTAAACATCGCCACTGGGGAGACAAAGATGGTCGGGCGTGGTGCTGGCCACCCCCTCGTGTACCGTTCCGGCCTTCATAGGTGCTCGCTAACAGCACTTGCCCCTACAGTTTGTTAAGGCTATACGGGGACTCTTTGTCTTTTGCCTTTTTAAAGTGGAGAGCGATAGTGTAGTGGTTAGCGCACTGCACTACAAACCTGGCGACTCGAGTTAGATTCCCGCTCATGGCCAACACTAGTGACGATTATCTGAACTGGTCTTGGGCCTCCAGAGGTCAACTCAACCTCCTATGAGTACCTGGTGCAATGTTTAAACATGCGTATCTGTGCGAGTGTATGGCTCTCTGCGTGATGAGTCTGGGTCTCTGTTTAGTGATTCTGTGGGTCTCTGTGTGATGAGTCTATGGGGTCTTTGTGTGAGTCTATGAGTCTTTGTGTGGTTAGTGAGTCTGTGTGGTGAGTCTGTGGGTATCCGTGTGGTGAGTCTATGTGGCTCTGTGAGTCTATGGGTCTCTGTCTAGTGAGTCTTGGTCTCTGTGTGGTGAGTCTATGGGTCTCTGTGTTGTGAGTCTCTGTGTCATGAGTCTGTCTTTGTGTGGTGAGTCTATGTGGTGAGTCTATCGGTGGGGCTTTCCACCAACCACCTCGTGTGCCATGATTCATAGGAGCTTGCTAACAGCGCTTGCCCCAACAGTCTGTTAATATCGGGGATCTTTGTCGTTTTGCTTTGTTGAAGGATGCAGTGTTGTGCCGCGTGGTTCTTCTTTGTGAGCTGTACAACATTTTCGTTTTGCGAATATCCATATAACCAATACACTGTTTTGCTACAAGTATTTTTTTATATGTACTTGGATGCCAGAACTTCTGTTTGAGGCATGGTGATGATAATTGTGCTCGTTATTCATCGCTGGTAGAGCACTGTGTGTGCGCCCACACAGCCGTACACACAATAATACCGACGCTAAAAATGTCACCGTTAAAATGAATGTTCCAGTCGGTGTTGAACCTCCCTCCCTTTCTCCAACCCCCATGCCAGCGTGCGATGATGACAAAGCAGAAGATCTGGTGTGTGCGAGTGGGGGGGATATTTATTTTCTCTTTAAATATTCGCCGTGCTTCTGAAGGCTCAGCCAGCGAGTGGTCACAAGTGCCCTGTTTTGCCGTGATTTTACACTTCTGCCTTGCACATAACGACAGTCGCCCTGTTTGTGGGCTGAAAACGACAGCAATAAAAAATATAATATATAATAGGCGACGTTTCGGGCAATGGCCGTTATTCATGTCACTGCATCTTAATCAGAAATACTGTATACATTGATATGGAATTTAGTTTTCGAGTGGTGGTGCAGTGGTTTCGCGCACTGCGCAATCATCTACTCAATCTCTCTTCTGGCCTCTCTTTACGTGCTATGAAGAAGGGCCATTGTCCACGATGTCGCCTGCTGAATATATTTTTTCTTTTTGAGGCCAAACACAGTGTTGTTGATGAACGTGTTAATGTTTTTTGTAACTTGTGCAACACTGCCAATGCAGCAGCATCACCATATAATTTTCATATCAACGATCAGCACTGTGCAATCAGAAAACTGCAGCTTAAATTATGGCCGCCCCCCCCCCCCCCTGTTTGTAGGACGGAATGGATGACAGTCCTGACTACTTCACAGAAGAGGAGAACAAGGCAAGTTCATGCACTAATAATACAAAGACAAACAACTACCCCCTGTAGGATGAACAGACTGTTGGGGCAAATGCCGTGAACGAACACTCATGAAGGCCGCCACTGCACACAAGGGGTGGGTGGCCAGCACCACGCCTGGCCGCCTTTGTCTCCCAAGTACCTAGTATACTACCACACTGTACAAGGTACTCATTTAACGCTCGAGTCGGCCTCAGGGAGGCCCAGATATTCGACACCCCATGTTAGCTGTGAGCAGCGCTGGGTTTGTAGCACATCGCTCTAACCATTATACTACTACTACCATTCCCCATAACAATAATGATACACAGTTATATTTCAATATCATCAGCCATGTTCAATCAACTGCTAGATGAAGGTGTAAGAATCCATCCAGCGCACGTGCACGCAAACTGATTTAATTGCATAATATTCTGCTGCTGGTGAATGTTCGTTGTAACGGGTTTCATCCCTTGACCGACGCATACAGCAGTGGATTGACCATGGCCGCTGATGATTCTGAACGGAATCGTGTGCTGTTTACTGGTATTGCACACATTTTTAATGGCCCTGCATCTGTTTAAGAAGCTGGCCTTTAAGGATTATGCTTGCGTTATGGTTCCAGTCACAGTGGGCATCCTATCATCGACACAAGTGTAATGACAGGGTGACACCTGCTGGCCTGGAAGGGGAATCACGGGTACGGGCACGGTTAAGTAACAACTAATCAGAGAGGGAGGTGTATCTGGGGCAAAGGTATAAGGTGGGGCTAGCCGAGATACTCCAGGAACCTGCTCGAAGGTTCCACAAGAGGGCGTGGCCGGAGGCGGGATTTAGCCACGCCTGGGGGGATATAAGGAGGAGCGGACCTGGGATTCGGGGCTTGTGTGTGGGAGTCTTGGGTCCTGACTGCGTCGCTGCTCGCCGACATCTCTCTCCGTCGTCCGGCCACGTGGAAGATATCCTGCGTGGTTTCCATCGTCGTCATCGTCACACCGCCAGCCAACGGCGTAGCCGAGTGAGGGCGATGAGACCATGCCGAGTGATCGGCTGTGTGTGGCCAGTAGAGACGTTAATACCTCGTGTTGTACTCGGTGTGAGTAATAAAGAAGAAGTACACTCTACACGACGTGTCGTGGAAGTCGCTCATTACACAAGTATATATTTATATATCACTAGCCTTTTGCCCGTCCAAGGATGGGTGTATTGCAGTAAATCTGAAACTTGCAAGCGAAAAGCAGACCGCGACGCGATATTCATTGCATCCATTCGTGTGCAATTTGTAAGGGCGCGGTGACACAGACTTATTTCATTTAAAGGTTATAATCCCTTGTTCATCATGACGTTCTTTTTACTTCTATGTCTCAAAAGCATGACGGAGATCGCGTGACGGAGATCGCGTGACGTGAGGGGGTGGGTGGCCACCACCATGCCAGGCCGTCTTTGTCTCCCTTTTGGCGATGTTTGATCACTGCACCAGGTACTCATTTGAGGCTGAGCCGACCTAGGGGAGGCCCAGGACCGGTTCAGATAATTGTCACTGGTGTTGGCCGTGAGCGGGAATTTAACTCTGTTCGGCGGGTTCGTAGCACAGCGCACTAACTGATACACTTCCGCTCCCCGCCTTCACTTTGGCTGCCATTCGGTAACCAGTTTCCTCCCTTGGCCATCATCTCCTCTAGTCATGACATGTCCCGCCCAGGCTCACTCTTTTTTACAGTCAAATAGACACCAATTATAAGGCATCATGCCCACGTTAACCACGCATACTTGTGGCAAGTAACACAAACAAAATATGCTTTGATAATGTCCAGTAATCCCTTGTTATTCGCAAGGGATATGTTTCAGAGGTGCTCGTGAATAGCAAATTTCGTGGATAATGAAGTATCGTACGTGCGACGTCTCCAAATGCTTCTAAAACTTGCAGAAGTTCTCTCTATCTCTCTTATCTCTTCATCTCATCACTTTCTCTCCAGTGAGCCATTGTACAACAAAACTGTTTAAAATTTTATGACAACTTGATTTGATTGGCTGTATCCGGTGGCAGAGGGATTGAGTTTATGAACTTACATTAGCCCTACACGGTCTAACCCAACAAAAAAACGAATTATGAATTGGTATCGTGGATAATAAGAACCTTATCACACATCTTCTCTTATAACACTCCGCACCTCCGATTAGCACGGTTGGCTACGTACAGTACGAAGGATGTTCAACATACATACATAACAATATATTACCATTTGTCAACCCACTGCTGAAGACATTGGCAAACTGTATCAGTCGTGGGGTTCGTTTTGACCGTACTTTACCACACCACCCAGTGGGTTGGTGAGAACGGGGAGCCCAAGGACCGATTCATATATCGTTTGCAGTGCTGATCAGGAATCAAACTTAGATCGCTAAGCCCACAGTCACAGTGCGAGGACTACTGTGCCAGAATTTCCCCAAAAGAACTTCTTTAATCCTGTTAAAAAAACGGATATCGCGAAATTCCGTTTTCGGTTTGTGTCTATAGTTGTAACATATATAATGTTAAAAAAAGTTTGTAATTATTAATGATTTGATAAAATTTTATTCAAGTAAGTTGTTACGCTCACGATAGTGTGTGCTGTATTCTGCTGCGTAAGATTTTATTATTTTAAAGTAGTAAATGTTGCACGTGATTGATGCACGTAAGCCTTGCAGTCACTGGAGACTCCACTTACACCCACCATGACAAAACAATCCAGTCTCGAATCACAACTCTAACATTGTTATGGCTCATCCAATTTCATTGACTGATTCCTCCACCCATATCGAGAACTCAGTCTACCAGACTGACTGTTACCTCTTGTCCATACTGTGTTCAACCACCACACTCCACATCATAACAACACAAAAAATAAAGATCCCTTGTATAGCCTTAACAAACTGTTACGGCAAGTGTTGTTAGCGAGCGCCTTTGAGGGCCGGCACGGCACACGAGGGGGTGGGTGGCCACCACCATGCCAGGCCGACTTTGTCTCCCTCGTGGCGATGTTTATACACCTCACTAGGTACTCATTTGAGGCTGAGTCGACCTAGGGGAGGCCCAGGACCGGTTCAGATAATTGTCAATGGTGTTGGCCGTGAGCGGAAATTTAACTCAGTTCGGCGGGTTCGTAGTGCAGCGCACTAACTGATACACTTCCGCTCCCCGCCTTCACTTTGGCTGCCATTCGGTGACCAGTCTCCTCCCTTGGCCATCATCTCCTCTAGTCATGACATGTTCCGCCCAAGCTCACTCTTTTTTACAGTCAAATAGACACCAATTATAAGGAATCATGCCCACGTTAACCACGCATACTTGTGGCAAGTAACACAAACAAAATATGCTTTGATAATGTCCAGTATCCCTTGTTATTCGCAAGGGATATGTTTCAGAGGTGCTCGTGAATAGCAAATTTCGTGGATAATGAAGTATTGTACGTGCGACGTCTCCAAATGCTTCTAAAACTTGCAGAAGTTCTCTCTATCTCTCTTATCTCTTCATCTCATCACCTTCTCTCCAGTGAGCCATTGTACAACAAAACTGTTTAAAATTTTAAGACAACTTGATTTGATTGGCTCTATCCGGTGGCAGAGGGATTGAGTTTATGAACTTACATTAGCCTTACACCAGGGGTCGGCAACCTACGGCTCCGGAGCCGCATGCGGCTCTTTACGGGCTGCTTCTTGACGATGAGTACGTATGTACTCAGATGCATTGCGGCTCTTGAAATACTGAATTTTGTACCGAATTGGAAAGAAATGGCTCTTCTTGTTATTTTGGTTGCCGACCCCTGCCCTACACGGTCTAACCCAACAAAAAAACGAATTATGAATCGGTATCGTGGATAATAAGAACCTTATCACACATCTTCTCTTATAACACTCCGCACCTCCGATTAGCACGGTTGGCTACGTACAGTACGATGGATGTTCAACATACATACATACATAACAATATATTACCATTTGTCAACCCACTGCTGAAGACATCGGCAAGCTGTATCAGTCGTGGGGTTCATTTTGACCGTACTTTACCACACCACCCAGTGGGTTGGTGAGAACGGGGAGGCCAAGGACCGATTCATATATCGTTTGCAGTGCTGATCAGGAATCAAACTTAGATCGCTAAGCCCACAGTCACAGTGCGAGGACTACTGTGCCAGAATTTCCCCAAAAGAACTTCTTTAATCCTGTTAAAAAACGGATATTGCGAAATTCCGTTTTCGGTTTGTGTCTATAGTTGTAACATATATAATGTAAAAAAAAGTTTGTAATTATTAATGATTTGATTAAAATTGATTCAAATAAGTTCTTACGCTCACGATAGTGTGTGCTGTATTCTGCTGCATAAGATTTTATTATTTTAAAGTAGTAAATGTTGCACGTGATTGATGCACGTCAGCCATGCAGTCACTGGAGACTCCACTTACACCCACCATGACAAAACAATCCAGTCTCGAATCACAACTCTAACATTGTTATGGCTCATCCAATTTCATTGACTGATTCCTCCACCCATATCGAGAACTCAGTCTACCAGACTGACTGTTACCTCTTGTCCATACTGTGTTCAACCACCACACTCCACATCATAACAACACAAAAAACATAGACAAAGATCCCTTGTATAGCCTTAACTAACTGTTAGGGCAAGTGTTGTTAGCGAGCACCTATGAAGGCTGGCACGGCACACAAGGGGGTTGGTGGCCACCACCATGCCAGGCCGCCTTTGTCTCCCTCGTGGCGATGTTTACACCCTGCACCAGGTACTCATTTGAGGCTGAGTCGACCCAGGGAAGGCCCAGGACCAGTTAAAATAATTGTTACTGCTGTTGGCCGTGAGCGGGAATCGGGTTCATAGTGCAGGGCACTAACCGCTACACTGCCACTCCCCATAAACAACCGGAACCACTCATTGACCATAATTCATTGGTCAAAACACTTATCTTTTGCTTCTTTTCTCGCATTCTTCGACTTTGGAATTCCTTCCC